AGACCAGATAGATTTGATATTTATAGAATATTCCACCCAAAAGTGGCAGAATACACTGTCTTCTCAAGTGCACATGGAACATTCTCCAGGAGAGATCACATCTTGGGTCACAAATCAAGCCTCGGAAAATTTAAGAAAACTGAAATCGTATCAAGCATCCTTTCTGACCACAAGGCTACGAGACTGGAAATCCATTACAGGAAAAAAAAAAAACTGTAAAAAACACAAATACGTGGAGGCTAAATAGTGTGCTACTAAATAACCAAGACATCACTGAAGAAATCAAAGAAGAAATTAAAAACTACATAGAAACAAATGACAATGAAAACACGATGACCCAAAAACTATGGGACACAACGAAAGCAGTTCTAAGAGAGAAGTTTAGAGCAATTCAATCTCACCTCAAGAAACAAGAAAAATCTCAAATAAACAATCTAACCCTACACTTAAAACAACTAGAGAAAGAAGAACAAAAAACAACCAAAGTCAGTAGAAGGAAAGAAATCATAAAGATCAGAGCAGAAATAAATGAAATAGAAACGAAGAAAACAATAGCCAAGATCAATAAAACTAAAAGCTGGTTCTTTGAGAAGATAAACAAAACTGATAAACCCTTAGCCAGACTCATCAAGAAAAAATGGGAGAAGACGCAAATGAAAAAGGAGAAATCACAACTGACACTGCAGAAATACAAAGGATTATAAGAGACTACTACAAACAACTATATGCCAATAAAATGGACAACCAGGAAGAAATGGACAAATTCTTGCAAAGGTACAATTTTCCAAGACGAACCAGGAAGAATTAGAAAATATAAACAGACGTATCACAAGTAATGAAATTGAAACCGAAATTAAAAATCTTCCAACAAACAAAAGTCCAGGACCAGATGGCTTCACAGGCGAATTCTATCAAACATTTAGAGAAGAGCTAACACCAATCCTTCTGAAACTCTTCCAAAACATTGCAGAGGGAGAAACACTCCCAAATTCATTCTATGAAGCCACTATCACCCTGATACCAAAACCAGAAAAGGATATAACCAAAAAAATAAAATTATAGACCAATTTCACTGATGAACATAGATGCAAAAATCCTGAACAAAATACTAGCAAACAGAATCCAACAGCACACTGAAAGGATCATACACCATGATCAAGTGGGATTTATCCCAGGAATGCAAAGATTCTTCAATATATGCAAATCAATCAATGTGATACAGCATATTAACAAATTAAGGAATAAAAACCATATTATCATCTCAATAGACGCAGAAAAAAGCTTTAGACAAAATTCAACACCCATTTATGATAAAAACTCTCCAGAAAATGGGCACAGAGGGAACCTACCTCAACATAATCAAGGCCATATATGACAAACTCACAGCAAACATCATACTCAATGGTGAAAAACTGAAAGCATTTCCACTAGGATCAGGAACGGGACAAGGATGTCCACTCTTGCCACTCTTATTCAACACAGTTTTGGAAGTTCTAGCCACGGCAATGAGAGAAGAAAAAGAAATAAAAGGAATACAAACTGGAAAAGAAGAAGTAAAACCGTCACTATTTCCTGATGACATGATACTATACATAGAAAATCTTAAAGATGCCACCAGAAAACTACTAGAACTAATCAATGAATTTGGTAAGGCTGCAGGATACAAAATTAATGCACAGAAATCTCTTGCATTCCTATACACCAACAAAAAATCAGAAAGAGAAATTAAGGAAACACTCCCATATACCATTGCAAAAAAAGAATAAAATACCTAGGAATAAACCAGCCTAAGGAGGTGAAAGACTTGTACTCAGAAAAGTATAAGACACTGATGAAAGAAATCAAAGATGACACAAACAGATGGAGAGATATACCATGTTCTTGGATTGGAAGAACCAATATTGTGAAAATGACTATACTGCCAAAAGCAATCTACAGATTCAAAGCAATCCCTATCAAACTACCAATGGCATTCTTCACAGAACTAAAACAAAAAAACTTACAATTCGTATGGAAACACAAAAGACACCGAATAGTCAAAGCAATCTTGAGAAAGAAAAACGGAGTTGGAGGAATCAGGCTCCCTGACTTAAAACTATACCACAAAGCCACAGTAATCAAGACAGTATGGTACTGGCACAAAAACAAATATAGATCAACAGTACAGGATAGAATATCCAGAGATAAACCCACGCACATATGGGCACCTAATTTATGACAAAGGAGCAAAAACATACAATGGAGAAAAGACAACCTCTTCAATAAGCAGTGTTGGGAAAACTGGACAGCTACATGTAAATGAATGAAATTAGAACACTACCTAACACCATACACAAAAATAAACTCAAAATGGATTAGAGACCTAAATGTAAGACCAGACACTATAAAACTCTTGGAGGAAAACAAAGGACAAAATCACTCTTTGACTGAAACCACAGCAAGATATTTTTTGACCCACCTCCTAGAGTAACAAATAAAAACAAAAATAAACAAATGGGACTTAATTAAACTTAAAAGCTTTTGCACAGCAAAGGAAACCATAAACAAGACAAAAAGACAACCCTTAGAATGGGAGAAAATACTTGCAAATGAAACAACAAAGGATTAATCTCTAAAATATACAAACAGCTTCATGGAGCTCAATATCAAAAAAACAAACAATCCAGTTAAAAGATGGGTGGAAGACCTAAACAGACATTTCACCAAGAAGACATACAGATGGCCAAGAGGCACATGAACAGATGCTCAACATCATTATTAGAGAAATGCAAATCAAAACTACAATGACGTATCACTTCACACTGGTCAGAATGGCCATCATCAAAAAAGCTAGAAACAATAAATGCTGGAAAGCATGTGAAAAGGGAAACCTCCTACACTGTTGGTGGGGATGTAAACTGATACAGCCACTATGGCGAACAGTATGGAGCTTCCTTAAAAAACTAAAAATAGAACTACCACATGACCCAGCAGTCCCACTACTGGGCATATATCCAGAGAAAACCATAATTCAAAAAGACACATGCACCCTAATGTTCATTGCAGCACTGTTTACAATAGCCAGGTCATGGAAGCAACCTAAATGCCCATCGACTGATGGATGGATAAAGAATATGTGGCATATATATACAACGGAATATTACTCAGCCATAAAAAGAAATGGAGTTATTTGTAGTGAGGTGGATGGACACAGAATCTGTCATACAGAGGGAAGTAAGTCAGAAAGAGAAAAACAAATACCGTATGCTAACGGATATATATGGCATATATTATTAAAAAAGGTACTGATGAACCTAGTTGCAGGGCAGGAATAAAGATGTAGACATAGAGAATGGACTTGAGGACATGGGGTGTGAGGGCATAGCTGGGGTGAAGTGAGAGTAGCATCGACATATATACACTACTGAATGTAAAATAGTTGGCTGGTGGGAAGCAGCAGCATAGTACAGGGAGATCAGCTCGGTGCTCTGCCGTGACCTAGAGGGGTGGAATGGGGGGATGGGAGGGAGGCTCAAGAGGGAGGGGATATGGGGACATATGTATGCATATGGCTGATTCACTTCGTTGTGCAACAGAAACTCACATGGTATTGTGAAGCAATTATACTCCAATAAAGATGTATTAAACAAAAATGTACAGAACTGGGTTTCCCGGGTGGCGCAGTGGTTAAGAATCCACCTGCCAATGCAGGGGACACGGGTTTGAGCCCTGGTCCGGGAAGATCCCACATGCTGCAGAGCAGCTAAGCCCGTGCACCACAACTACTGAGCCTGTGCTCTAGAGCCCGTGAGCCACAACTACTGAGCCCGCGCGCCTAGAGCCCATGCTCCGCAGCAAGAGAAGCCACCACAATGAGAAGCCTGCCCACCACAACGAAGAGTAGCCCCTGCTCACTACACTAGAGAAAAGCCCACGTGCAGCAATGAAGACCCAACGCAGCCAAAAATAAATTTATAAAATTAAAAAAAAAACTTGTTAAAAAATGTACAGAACTGATATAACATTTCTTTTTTTTTTTTTTTTTTTTTTTTTGCGGTATGCGGGCCTCTCACTGTTGTGGCCTCTCCCGTTGTGGAGCACAGGCTCCAGACGCACAGGCTCAGTGGCCATGGCTCACGGGCCCAGCCGCTCCGCGGCATGTGGGATCTTTCCGGACCGGGGCACGAACTTGTGTCCCCTGCATTGGCAGGTGGACCCTCAACCACTGCGCCACCAGGGAAGCCCCATTTCTTTTAATTAAGTAGACTTTTTTTCCCATTATTTTTTCCTTTTTCCTTTTCCCATTTAAGCAACTAGGCTGTTCTGTTCTCACTGCCTCGGGAAAGGTATGTTATAACCAAAAACAGAATTCTTTTTTTTTTAAAGAAGCCTCTTCCTGGCATTTATGCTTCCACCATTCCTTAAGGAACAGAAAGGACTCGTAACATAGACTTAGGTTTGGAAGAATTTTATAAAAGAAGCAAAGTTCTCCCTAAAGCTCAAAGTTAGACCTGAAACCTCCAGTAGGCCAAGAGTGCAGTCAAGGTCCACAGACCACCCAGCATCCACTGAAGGAAGCACCTTGCATGGCCTGTGTCCACTAAGAGCTTCCTTTCAACAGCAGCGCAGGCCCTCTGCCCAGTGACTGTTCCAGAAAAAACAATGCTACCCTGTCCCTGGGACCTCTGCATCCCTCCCCATCCCAGCCCCATCAATAAGCATGGATTAAGTGGTACTACAAAGCATCACTCCCCAGCAAACTGGGGCAATCTTTGCAGTGCACTCCCAGGAGGAACCACCATGTCTAAAGCATGTTGACAATTCCTGAGCTCTACACAGTGGCAGCCTCTTTCACTTCTCATAGAACCAGTAACTTTCAACTCAGGAAATCCTTGTTCTCACATAGATGCACACATTCTTTTCAGCTCGTCTCCCATTTGTTTGGGAAACACTCTCTCCTGTTCTCTCACTGGCATCATACAAGTAATTAAAATGGTGTCATACAAGTAATCAAAACAATATTTTAAGGCCACTCTTGAAGCCCATTTATAAAGCTGTCTTTAGAGGGAGGAAAAGCAGAGTTCAAGTTTGGAGGGAAAAAAAACAATTGGCGACCTATTTTGAAACTTGAAAGAAGAAGAAAAATTTATTGTTCTTTGGTTGGTTGATCCTACAAATCTTGATCAATGTTTAATGCAACCTAAAAACAAAAAGTAAATATGCTTTAAAATACAACTAGAACTGTGAAATGTACAAGCCACAGAAAATTTAAGCTTAGGTAACTTCTATGTGACTATGTAAATGAAGCTTTTTGATAGTTTCAGATTATTTCAAATAAAATCCAAAGTCAATATAATAATAATTTAACTGTGCTCTCAATGTATTTATCAACCCATCCTTTCTTCTACTTCTCCTGCTATTCTCTCTTATTGTTATCCGTATCCTTCTTGCAGGGGTCCTGTACGCATCCCTTAAATGTTGAAATTTCTCATGTGAGCCAGGTAACCTGACTCACTCTCCTAGCTTCACTTAGCATATATGCTGATGACTGCTGAATTCATCTCTCCTGCCTGGACCTCTCTCCCTCCTCCAGACCCATAACATACTTCAAGGGGTCTTTGGCCATTTTCACCTGCATACCTCAGAGTGACCTGAAATCAACATGTCCACAACTGAAGACATCATTTTCACAAAACCTACTTTCTCTTCATATGTTCCTCAATTTAACGAATGGTAAAGCTCAAAAAATGGTGAAGAGTTCAGTTGCACAAGGCAGAAATCTGGGCTTCATCCTTGATTTCTTTCTCTCCCTTATCTTCCCAGCTGATATCAAATCCACTCAGCTGTCCCTATCTCTGCTGTCTGGTCCTAGCCCTGGTCATCTTGCATCTGGATGACTGTGATAACCTCCTAAGTGGTCTCCTGTTTCCACTCCTGCCCACTCAGATCCTCTCTCCACCTTCTAAAAACACTTATCTAATCCTTACATAAACCCTTTCAATGACTCCCACTGCACATAAGTCCAAAATCCTTAAGAGGACACACAGAGCCCAGTGTGATATGGCCTTTATCCACTTCTCCAGTTTCAAATCACACCATTCTCCGAGCTCCATACAACTCAGCCAAAATACTGGACTATTTGCATTCCTTGAAAGTATCTTACTCTCTCCATCCACTGGGCTCATCTCAGGCTAACTCCTTAAACGTCATTTCCTGGAGAAGACTCACCCAGGCTAGGTCAGGTTTCGCTGCTCTGTCCTCTCAGACCACCTGCCCCGCTGGCCCATGGCCCCCAAAGGGCAGAAACCCTATCTGTTTTGTTCGCTGGTATTTTCTAGCTCCCTCCATGGTACCAAAACACAGCAGCCATTAAATAAAAATGTATCCACTGACTGATTAGCACAAAATCCTCCAGGCTCCACTTTCTGACCAGCTCTTAAAAACACCACTCACTACTTCCGGCCATCAGTGCCATCTCTCTGTAGATTACAAACAGCCTCCTGGTGGGTCTCCTCAAATCGATCACTCCATTCTCTTCTACACGCTATAGCCAGATGGCCTTCCTAAAACACAGTTCTGATGTTGGCCCCCACTGCCTTTAGGGTAAAATATAAACATCTGAGCACAGATTACAAGTCCTTTCATGGTCTGGCCCCTGCTCTCCACTGCCTCAGCTCTGATCTCTCCCTATCTCCCACTCTCTCTTCTCCCCTTCCCGGCCTCCCATCCCACCACTGAGTGACAAAGCTGACTTCCTCCAGGAAGCCTTCCCTGACCAAGGGTCCTCAACTGGGTGGCTGTCCCGCTTTGTCAGTGCCCACTGATGCAGGTGACTCAGTGCAGCCCTCTGCCAGGGCAGTCCCAGGTTACAGCTGCTGATGGGCCTGTTATCAACAGCCCCTCCTCTCGCTCTCCAAGCATAATGCTCTGGACCAGACATTACCTGCTCACTCTAACAATGACTATCAATTGCTTGTCCAGTTGTCTGTTTCTTCCCTAGACAAGGTCAAGAAGGACCTGTTTTCGGTCATAAAAGCATCGGGCACAATTCATGCAGTGCATAGGAGACACTATATGTTTATTAAATAAGCAAATGGACTTATATACTTTAAAAGCATGCACTCTCATTAGGATATTTACTTGGCTCCACGGTTTGCTACTGAGAACCAAAATGTTGGCCCCCAAAATTTAATTTAAAGATTATGTATTTCAGCACGATTCTAAATACATATTTTGAAGAGATTTTGAAATTTTCAGAGGCTTATTTCCAAATATACATATCACCCTCTACACAGGAGGGCACACTGCTCCCTCCACATTAATGCCCAGTGACCTCCCCATCAGGGCCCACACATTTGTGTGGAGCCAGACAAGTGCCCACTCTCACCCTCAGGGCCAGTAGCACAGTACACAGAAGGGCAGAAGGCCAATTAGGGGTAAGTCAGCACCCAGAACACTGGTTTTCTTTCTATGAAACAAAAGGCCCATTTTGCCATCCAACCTTGGCCTGAGATACACTAGGCTCTCCCAAGTAAAAAAAAAAAAAAAAAAAAATCTGCTTTTCACAAAACACTTTCCTAAGGATACTCACATCAGATAGCATCGGTTCATCAAGTTCTTCCACCCTGCTCAAGTTCGGCGCTCCATATCGATCACTAATTTCAGCTAGTGTTCTGCCTGAGTCGGCTCCATCCTACAATCATAGAGCTCATTTTCACTTTCAAATGATTTTGAGATTCATACATTAATTTGCTTTCAGTTTTGCTAAGACACTTCTGTATTACAACGTCAAAATTCAACACTGTCAGCTAATGGAACGAACCAATACCTGTTAATGACAAGAGAATTCCAAGAATAAACACAAAAACGTGTTTAAAAAAATACATCAGAAATTTAAAACACATCATTGCATGTAATCATGTGGTCAATAATCTCACAATATTCTGGTTTTTAAAAATACCAAAACAAACCGAATCTCCCAGTTCTACCCACCTGGAGATTTTGCTTTAAAGCACATCATATTTGTGACTTGTTATTACTAGACTATGTATTTGGACTATCAGTTTTGATAATCTCCTTATTAAAAATTTAGCTATTAATGCATCAAAATTAAGCTTTACATTCCAGGATACTTATTCATTTCCCATAACATAGAGTAACTTTTTCTTCTCACCTCTCCATGTGAAATATCTTCACCCTTAGCTGTATTTTCCATACTCATTCTCAACTCCTATAATACATAAAAATGAAGAAAAATACTTTGAATATACTTTTCATTTTGATTCCATGTTTAATTTTCAAGCATTTTATTTTTACATTATGATCAATTTAACAGCAAAAATGCTGTCCCTCTTAAAGGAGCAATGTGAATACAAAACTGCAGACACAGTCTCATTTAATATTCTATTAAGAGGTGACTACGATGTTTTGTCTATAATTAAATAGAACTTTTTAAAAAATGAAAAAGGCTAACTATTTCACTAACCCTGAAGCCAAATTACTAGCAAATTTGAAAAGTGACAAAATAATAATTTTAATAAACTCTTAGAATACGAGATTTTGAAAGAACTGACAGTTATGTAGAATTTTATACATAGTAAAAAAAGAAGCAAACATTTCTGAGGGAATTAATCTGGCCCAAGGCACTATCCAGTACATGACACCTCTCCACAGTACCTGGACAATGCCATCTATAATGCTCTGAACACATGGAAGACTGCTTTCTGAATGTGAAAACATAGAATCTGTTAACCAAGCCAAACCTTGCTGTGGCCTCTATCTTTTCATTCTAAGGCAGCAGGCTGACTTAACTGCTCCTGAGCTGATTCATTTCAGCTGTTCAAAGACTAGGGATTGGGCTTCCCTGGTGGCGCAGTGGTTGAGAGTCCGCCTGCCGACGCAGGGGACGCAGGTTTGTGACCCGGTCTGGGAAGATCCCACATGCCGCGGAGCGGCTGGGCCCGTGAGCCATGGCTGCTGAGCCTGCGCCTCCAGAGCCTGTGCTCCATAACGGGAGAGGCCCGCGTACCGCAAAAAAAAAAAAAAAGATTAGTGATCTTGTGATCATATATACAGTCACCCTGATTATTGGGGACATATATCGTACATATATGGCTTTCTCAACATCATTCCCTTCTCCTGGGCATGTCTTATCCCACAACCACATGGCTCTGGTGGGAAAGCATATATTCTCACAGGACTCTGTTGCCCAGCCAAGGGATGGATACTTGACACAAACTAAGCCAGTCAGAATCCTTCCCCAAGATTCTTTTCTTAACTGAAACCCAAAAGAAAGGAATCTATTCCTCTCAGACAGTAGGAGCCACATTACAAGACGCAGGAACTACTAAGGACCGTGATCCTCACCCATGTGCAGCAAACCAGGCCACAGTGAGAGACAACAGCAGGGGTAAGAGCCCTGGCAGCATTGATTCTCTTGCTCCCAAAGGTCTGGAAGACCCAACTCAACCAGAGCCCTTCACAGTTTAGTTGTAAAACCCTTTCTTCAACCCAGGATCCTTCCAATAAATTTCCTTTTGCAACTGATAGTTTAAGTTATGTCTCTGAAGCCATAAAAAGGCGAGGACGAAAAGACATGGATGAATTTGTCTCTGAGCAAGGGGTCAAGCAGCAGTATGTTGCAGGGAAGAGAGGGGTGATAAGCCAGTAGGAATATGACTTATTAAAGCTACTGTGCCTCTGGTCACATAGTCTGGTAATGGCCATAGAGTAACATGAATGGGACCCTCTGGAGCCAATCCCTTCTATAAATCACAGACTTCCCAGCACTCAGATATAGCTATCAGGCATCTCAATAAAAAATACTTTCAATTCTCTTATTATTTTGATCACCGTCTTCTTGATGTATTCTGGTTCTTCTTTCTTTTGCAATCACAGAATCTTAACTGAAGAGGAAGGGGGTATGCATTTACGTGTGTGTGCATGCATGGGTATCCGTGTGTCCTACCATATTCAGACAAGGATCAGCATCGGTGTTTTTTGTTTTTTGTTTTTTTTTTTTTTTCCTTGCGTTATGCGGGCCTCTCACTGTTGTGGCCTCTCCCATTTGCGGAGCACAGGCTCCGGACGCGCAGGCTCAGCGGCCATGGCTCACGGGCCCAGCCGCTCCGCGGCATGTGGGATCCTCCCGAAACGGGGCACGAACCTGCGTCTCCTGCATCGGCAGGCGGACTCTCAAGCACTGCGCCACCAGGGAAGCCCAGCATCGGTGTTTTTTAAAACTATGTACAGAGATTTGAATTTATCCTTTTAAAATCTCATCTTTTTGACTCACAAAAGTAGTTTTCCGACACTTGGGCTACAATAGGACTAAATGATTTCACTTTGTCAAGAACAATTCTTAGTAGATTAATCTCTTATTATAGAATGATGAGCATAGTACATTGATGAGAAGAAAAGAATTGATCTCAAGAGTTAAAAAATTAACTAATTAAATCTCATCTTTTAAAAAAATTTAAGTTACCCTTCCTACTTTTTAAAATTGCTTTAAATAATGATGCTTTCGGGCTTCCCAGGTGGCGCAGTGGTTGAGAGTCCGCCTGCCAATGCAGGGGACGCGGGTTCGTGCCCCGGTCCGGGAAGATCCACATGCCGCGGAGCGGCTGGGCCCGTGAGCCATGGCTGCTGGGCCTGCGCGTCCAGAGCCTGTGCTCCGCAACGGGAGAGGCCACAACAGTGAGAGGCCCGCATACCGCAAAAAAAATAAAAATAAAAATTAAAAAGATAAAATAAATAAATAAAAATAATAATAATAATGATGCTTTCATCTAAGCCATTAATAAACATCTTCTACAAAACCTGCTTCTTTTTAAAATTTTAATTTCGGAATAAATAGAGGAGCAACATTTGAGTAACAGATACTAGCTATAAGCATACAATATGAAATATCCAGTTGAAAAGTATAACTCAGTCATGCAGAAGTTTGGTCTATACGACACATACTTTTCAGATACAAGGAAACGTTAGCCAAGCAGGAGGCTTGACATAAGACAGACACAGTCTGGGGGCTTCCCTGGTGGCCCAGTGGTTAAGAATCCACCTGCCAATGCAGGGGACACGGGTTCGAGCCCTGGTCCAAGATCCCACATGCTGTGGAACAACTAAGCCTGTGCACCACCACTACTGAGTCCACGTGCCACAACTACTGAAGCCCGTGCTCCACCAACAAGAGAAGCCACTGCAATGAGAAGCCCAGGCACTGCGACCAGAGAAAAGCCCACGCACAGCAATGAAGACCCAATGCAGCCAAAAAAATAAAATAAAATAATAAACTTATTAAAAAAAAACACAGCCACCATCAATGGAAATGGACTATTTTGACATAAGTTACTGAATAGTTTATTTAAAGAAAGACATGAAAAATCCAAATAAAAACATACATATATATATATATATTTTTTTTTTTTGGCTGCGTTGGGTCTTCGTTGCTGCACACGGGCTTTCTTTAGTTGCAGCAAGCAGGGGTTACTCTTCGTTGCAGTGCGCAGGCTTCTCATTGTGGTGGCTTCTCTTGTTGTGCAGCACAGGCTCTAAGCGCGTGGGCTTCAGTAGCTGCGGCATGTGGGCTCAGCAGTGTGGCTCACGGGCTCTAGAGCGCAGGCTCAGTAGTTGTGGCACACGGGCTTAGTTGTTCCACGGCATATGGGATCTTCCTGGACCAGGGATTGAACCCATGTCCCCTGCATTGGCAGGCGGATTCTTAAGCACTGTGCCACCAGGAAAGTCCCCCAAACATAGTTTTAAATGTAAAGTATTGTTGATAATACATCTAACATGAAGAAAAGAAACAAACTATTGTCTCAGAGATAAGAATACCCCCAATACTACAAAGAACTTCAGTATCAGCTACCATAATTAGGAACAACTATCTTTTGACTAAAATGTTGACCAGGGCTTCCTGGCAACATTAGACCTTCCTGGCAGGTCTCTAGACTATGAATCCCCTGCTATAACAGCTGGAAGAAACAGTTTGAGGATTCTCAGAGGTTTTGAATAAAACAGACATTTATAAAACTTCAAATTACCTTCTCAAATTGCTCTTGAGCTCTCTGCAGTTCTTCTATTCTCTGTCTCTCTTTTTCTTGCATTTCCAACTCCAGCTGGAATGCCAACTGTTGCTGAACATTCAGAAATAAATAAGTCATATTAGAGTCAGATCAATTGCAAGGAATTCACTCTATTACTCTAAAGTGTCCCAGGATAATTAAGTTTATGCCCACCTAAATTTCAGAAACTTACAAAAATAAATGGTCACAGCCACCCAATACTTTAGCTTTTACAAATATTTCCTGAAGTATAAAATTAAAAAGGAAGCTTCCTTAATTGCTAATTTTAGAAAGGCACTATTTGTACAAAATCAAGTCATTTTCTCTGTTCTTCCTGAAGCTACAAATGAGACTGCAGTGATTTTTTTTTTTTGGGGGGATAAAATCTCTTTAAGCACAGATGGATCTTCAAATAGCCAAACCTTGGCTGTAAAATACTAGATAAGAACATTTTAAGTACATTATCTGAAACCAGAGATAATCAACAACATATTTGGTCCCAATGCAACATATATCCTAGCCACGCGAGAATAGGGGTCGGTAGACTAAATTCCTTGGGCCAAGCCTGACCCAACTCGTTTTTGTACAGCCCACGAGTGAAGAATGGTTTTTATACATTTTTCATGGTTGAATAACATCAAAAGAATAATATTTCATTGCACATGAAAATTATATGAAATTAAGTGTCACTGTGTATAAATAAAGCTCTATTAAAACACTGTCACGCTCACGCTCACTCATTTACTGTGACTGCTTCTGCCCCATGACAGCACAGCTGAGTATATGCAACAGAGACCACAGGTGGTACTCTCACTACCTTGCACTGCTGCTCAGCACACTACAAGTTCAGTGACACCATTATAACTCACAGCGTTTGGAATGCCACGGTACCACTATACCGGGACTTTTTTTTTTAATTTTATCAGTGCATTACCCATCATAACAAAACAAGAAAAGAAGTGGACTTTGAATGTTGTCCTTTTAAGACACAGTGGAGTGTGGGTTACTTTATTATCAGATTAAACAGCACAGGACAGTGTTTCTCATGCAACGACACTGTACTAAAAGAATACAGTAAATATCAGGATTACCAGAGGAAGCACTCATCACAATCTTCTCAACTCACGTGAACGCAAAGGTCAGAAGTATTCAGAAATTCAAAACAGAATTATTTCATGAGAGCAGAATTTCTTCACAAAAATTAAAAATGAAAAGGAGGCTGCAACAAAAGTAAGGTCCCAAGTGGCTGTTTTGTTAGCCAAGCAAAGAAATACATTTATCAATGGTGATTCAATTAAAACAAGTGAGAATTCAATGTCCAGAAAAAACATAAACTTAAGATTATTATCCTTTTGGTGAGAACAGCTGCTCAAAGAGTCGATTACATGGGGAGCAAAATCAATGGTCAATTAAAGGCAAAGGGTTCTGAGTGGTTTTCCTTGGCTCTTGATGAGTAGACAAATGCTCCCAACACTGCTTAGTTGTTGTTTATCAAAGGAGTCAATGCTGAGTTTGCAGTGACTGAAAATTCAACCACTATGAACAGTCTTTATGAACAGTACTACAGGCAAGAACATCTTCAAAGACATTGAGGAACATTAATTCAGTACAACCAGGTGTGACATCTGCTCAGATGTGTTACAACCAACAGTGATAAAAGTGTGTATGGAACAGAAAAAGGCTTAATTGGACAAAATTTACAAAGTTAGTGAAAACACAGTGTTTAAAACCTATGAGTTCTCGGGCTTCCCTGGTGGCGCAGTGGTTGAGAGTCCGCCTGCCGATGCAGGGGACACGGGTTCGTGCCCCGGTCCGGGAAGATCCCACATGCCGCGGAGCGGTTGGGCCCGTGAGCTATGGCCGCTGGGCCTGCGCTTCCGGAGCCTGTGCTCCGCAACGGGAGAGGCCACAACAGTGAGAGGCCCGCGCACCGCAAAAAAAAAAACAAAAACAAAAACCTATGAGTTCTCATTTTATGATTCAACAGCAGCTACTCTGCAGAAAATATTTGACTCTATCATGTGTTATTGAGCCAGCAGTGTTGAAACCGAGTCCCCCCTAAAGCTGAGTTCCCTTACTGAGTTTCTGATTAATCTCTCTATCCAAAACTTTATTCCCTTTCTTGTCCCCTCTGACCTCAATCCTGTGCTAACTGAACACTAATCAACCAGAGTCAGATGATGAAAATTGCTGTTGTCAATAGCATCGTTAATGTACTAAAATTGCTATTATAGATACCATCATTAATGTACAAACTCAGGTTGTTTCTCTAGGACAAGATGAGCTAACAGACCCCCCCCCCCCACCCATGGCCGGAGAACTGTAAACTGGAGACATACATCCTGACAAAGGAGTCAATGTTGAGTTCAAAGTGACTGAAAAAATCGATCACTGACTGAAAAAAATCAATGACTAAGAAATATAAGAGAAGTGCTGCAGCAACACGGACGGACCTGGAGATTATCACACTAAGTGAAGTAAGTCAGACAGAGAAAGACAAGTATCATATGATATGTGGAAACTGAAAAACAGTACAAATGAATTTATTTAAAAAACAGAAACAGACTCACAGACATACAAAACAAACTTATGATTACCAAAAGGGGGAGGGATTAAACTGGGAGTAGGGGATTAACAGATGCACACTACCATTTATAAAATAAACAACAAGGATTTACTGTACAGCACAGGGAACTATATTCAATATCTCGTAATAAACTATAACAAATAGAATAAAAAAGAACACAGCTATATACATATATATGTATATATAACCACTTTGCTGGGCATCTGAAACTAACACAATATTGTAAATCAACTATACTTCGATTAAAGAAAAAAGAAAAGAAATGTCACAGAAACATCACAAGATTAATCCTAGCCTCTTTGCTCTTCCCCTTTAAGAAAACCCCTGACTCAAAGACTCAGCTGGAGTGGATCCGAGGCTTGTCTCCCACTTCCTTGCTTGGCGCCCTGCAGTAAACTCTGTACTTTCCTTCACTAGAACCCACTGTCAATAGATTTGGCTTTGCTGTGCGTTGGGCGAGCAGACCCGTTTGGTTTAGTAACAGTGTCAACAGTGACCTTCATTTACCCTTATGAACTTAAGCATCATTTCTGTGAATTTCTGTCAGAAATAGAAGCTGAATATATCTTGACTTGCCCTACCACCCCATAGTTCCATGGCTCAACAGTGGCAATGTTCTATTGTGAATTTTTGAGCTCAGGGACAAGACTGACGTTTTTCTTAATGAGAAGACCATTTTCAACCACAATTATCAAACATCAAACAGCTTTGGAAATGAGCTTCCGCTGCAGACTTAATAACGATTTTTAATCAATTTAACCTAAAAGTTGCCTATAAGGCAAAACAGCACTCATATGTAAAACTTACACTGCAGGAAAGTCATTTCAGCAACAACTAATTTTCTGAATCACAATGTCAAGCTGCTTTATACACTCCCAGTGCTGTCAGAAACGGGATTTCCATTCCCACACAAATTTGTGACAGATACATTTTCCAAGCTCAAACTATAGTTCCAGAGTGTTTTTAGGCCTTGACGTAAGTGCAAAGGAAATTCCCACATTTCAAAATCCATTTAACTGTGTAACTGAGACGTTTTCACCAACCTTCAACTGGAAGGGATTAATCTACCAGGTAGTGGCTAAAAGACAAACATCAAGAGGAAAATCTAATAGAATTCTACGAGTGCCTTCCAAGAGATGAATACACTCAAAATTATAGGCACATGGACTGATATCAATATTTGGCAGGACCTATGAGGGAAAAGACATTTTTCAAAGATGACATAAATAAAATCTCATTATAGATCAGCATTAACAGATACATATTTTCAATACATTTTGATGATAGGGAACATTATCTTTGAACTCCAACTAAGTGAAACGTTATCTTTAAAAAGGGAACGTAATTCTTCTCAATAATAAGCCTACACTGCAGAAAAAATTGTATTTGATTTTTTAGAATTTTTAGTTCATCAATAAAACATTTGTAGAAATTTATTTTCTCTCTTGTTATAGCTACACAGTATACCATAATCCCTACATAATATCCTCAATTTTGCTTCTTGGCCTGAAAATCATAAAATATCCACTTTTACAGAAAGAGTTTGTCAACCTCAGCTAGAAAATAATTTCTCACCATCAGTCCAGTGCCACCCCATAAACGACCTATAAGCTCATTCCATTAAGAGCACTTTAAAACTATATTTTTAAACTCATTTAAAAAATAATACATTTTTACAAAGAGATAATAAACAGTGATTAATATTTATTCACAAAGGGCTGTGTAAGGTAATTTCTTCATATTCCTATATCATCCCCACTAAAACAAAAGTGATGGGCTAGGAACGTTACCATTCAATCAACTTTCAGATATTCGTAGAGGAAGCGAAATTAACCTCTGAACAATAACACAAAGCACAGTTGCTAAATACCAACCACATTGGTCAACATAACCGGTTTCTTAACATTTTCAGGAAATGTTCGAAACCCAATCGCTTTCTTCACACATGTGTAAAACCATTAGAAAAACATTCAAACAAATACAAAAGCTAGTACTGCCAAAATGAACTCTTAAGCAGAAAACAGCAAGAATAATGTTTCCCTGCTCACAAGGACCCAGGCTTGCTGGAGAATGCCTAAAATTTCAAGGAATTTCAAGTCTGTGGTACTGATTATGAGGACACCTGCTCTTGCAACCAACAGGCAGGTGACCAGAATCCTGACCTTCCAGCTCACTTGACTCGGGGGACTCGGAGAGGCCTCTCTCTTTCTCTTCGTCTGTTGGCCCACCCGTCCCTTCTCCTTCTCTCATCTATCTCTGCCCACCAATCCACTTCTTTAATGGGCCACCACATCTGCTGCAGGATATCACAATGTCTTCCACCCCCAATACAATGCTTAGGGTTTGATGCACAGGGGATGGCTTCACACTGATACAGCTAGAAAAATGTTTGGGTTCCAGTATTGCCAAATTTTATTTAAGGTAAAGAAGATGAGTCAAAGCAAATTAAACATCTCCATATCTGTGATCTAACTATCTTAAGGAAGGAGAACTGCTGAGCAGTTCTTATTCTGATAGACAGGGGACAGATGCCAGCTCTAGGAGCTGGAAGAGGCAGGGCAGATCCTCACTCAAAGTTGGGGTGACTGCAGCAGACACTTGCCCATTTGGACGGTCATTTGACATCCAACTCAACACTGTGCAACCTCCCCACAAAAATAAGCCAAATGACTGAAAAATGAAGACTCAAGAAGCAGTAAAGGTGCCTAGAATAGCCATATCCATCTAAGGGGCCTAGAATGATCTACCCCAGTATCAAGGATGGGAGACAAGACAGAGAAGCTAGTTTCCATGTCTACATTTTCCTTTTTTATCCACACACCCAAATAATAGGCTTCTTTCCCTTTTTATAATATGTAAACTGGAGTTGAGACTCTAGAGTTAAGTACCATATGACAGAAGTATAGGGTGACTCCAACTTGGTTTACAAGAGCTCCATAAATTAAATTGGTCCAGAAGCCACTCTAGAACTTTCCCCTCTCTGGTTTATACTCCATGACCCACCTCTTCAACCATTTTCAAACCAACATCTTTAGCTCCCCAATCCTGCTAACCCAAACTCACTTCAGTCAAAGGGTCTGTCTCCTCCACATCCTCACTCAAATATCCAGGCCTAGGTGGAGAAAATCACATCATCACAAAACCAAACCAAAAGGCCCCATTACAACCGCTTGGTCTCAGGGAATTCAGTGCTACCGAGGGATGCTAAGTTTCTTTGGTCAACTCTACCTCTCCAAAGCCACTGTTTCAAGCCTTCACCACTCTCCCCACTCCTCCTACCTTTACCACCTCATTCTGGGAAGATGATCAGGGTCCCTACTTCATAAAAAAGAAATAGTCACACAGAAACTGCTTTCAACTTTTGCCACAAAACCTACACACCACGTGTACCCAACGCCGTCCTCTCCTCTTTCTTTGAATCAAAGAACCAAAGAAGGGCCCCTCCACCCACCTAACCTGTGTTCCAGAGCCAATTTCCTCTGGTCTCCATGAAAAGTTGACTCTAGCAATCATCCCCTTTATTTCTTTACATCAACCACTCCCCTCCGCTCTGTTCCTTAAAAAAACCAAATAAACAAAAGAAAACTCCTTCCCTGAAAATCTCCTTGAAACCATTACCTGTACTCACCACCTCCATCTCCCCTGCTTTACCCCACCCCACATTCGCTGCTCCCACCAAGGTCACCAGTGGCCTTAAATGAGACTTGGCAGTTCTGTTCCCACTCAACCAGCCACAGACATGGTTGACCACTCAGGTCTCATTGGGACGCTGTCCCCTTGGCTACTGTGACAGCAGACTCTCTGGGTTTTCCTCCTACCTCACCACTGCTCCTTCTCCAGTAAAGAAGCCACATATAGACATAAAGATGAAGATATAAGAAAGCTACATCTAAGCAACAAGAGATGAGTTTTTCAACACCTGGGTTGCATCACACCAAGGGTGACTCCACTAGTTCCAATCACCACTGAACTCTCTTGTCTCACCTGCTGAAACAGGAGCTCCTCTGCTTTAAGTCTCTCCATCATTTCCTGCTCCATCACAGCTAATTCTCTTTCATGGTCCAACTGGGCCATTTCCTCTTGTCTCTAACATGGTTTAAAAAAAAAAAATCATCATGTGACTAATTACAGATAAAACAATCTGTAAAAACAATCTTAACAGCATCTTAATCTCCAACAGTAGGTAAAGGATTAAGCAAATTATAGTCTACCCATTTGGAAACTGTATAATAATCGGGGGAAACGTGTGTTTTATTTCAACAAAGAGCACAAAATTAAAATTACACAGCAAATACAATCACAATTGTGTAAAAAAAAAGATCTCCAGGCAAATGTGTAGAAAAAAGACTAGAATACCTAAAAATACCTAAGAATCTAAATAGAGGTCTTCTTTATTTTCTTCTTTCTACTTTTTCATGTTATCTAAGTTTTGTAATAATAAACATACTATTTTTATAATAGAAAGAAATGATAATATTGAAATTTTTTTAAAAAGCAAAGAAGCTGGACCAATTATTTCACTCCTCTAATTTTATAAAAGGAGATCCACAATGGAACAGGACAGAAAGCCCAGAAATAAACCCAAGCACCTATGGTCAATTAATGGAGAAAAGACAGTCTCTTCAATAAGTGGTGCTGGGAAAACTGGACGGCTACCTGTAAAAGAATGAAATTAGAACATTCTCTAGCACCATACACAAAAATAAACTCAAAATGGATTAAAGTGCTAAATGTAAGACTGGATACTATAAAACTTATAGAGCAAAACACAGGCAGGACACTCTTTGACATAAATCACAGCAATATCTTTTTTGGATCCATCTCCTAGAGTAATGGAAATAAAAACAAAAATAAACAAATGGGACCTGATTAAACTTAAAAACTTTTGCACAGCGAAGGAAGCCATAAACAAAAAAACAACCTATGGAATGGGAGAAAATATTTGCAAACGATGCAACCAACAGGGATTAATCTCCAAACTATACGAACAGCTCATATAGCTCAATATCAGAAAAACAAACAACCCAATCAAAAAATGGGCAGAAGATCTAAATAGGCATTTCTCCAAAGAAGACATACAGATGGCCAAAGGCACATGAAAAGATGCTCAGCATCACTAATTACTAGAGAAATGCAAATCAAAACTATAATGAGGTATCACCTCACACCAGTCAGAATGGCCATCATCAAAAAGTCTACAAATAATAAATGCTGGAGAAGGTGTGGAGGAAAGGGAACCCTCCTACACTGCTGGTGGGAATATAAATTGATACAGTCACTATGGAGAACAGTGTGGAGGTTCCTTAAAAAACTAAAAATAGAGTGCATATGATCCTTCAATTCCACTCCTGGGCATATATGCGGAGAAAACTATAATTTGAAAAGCTACATGCACCCCAATGTTCACTGCAGCACTACCTACAATAGCCAAGACATGGAATCAACCTAAATGCCCATCAACAGAGGAATGGATAAAGAAGATGTGGTACATATATACAATGCAATATTACTCAGCCATAAAAATGAATGAAATAATGCCATTTGTAGCAACATGGATGGACCTAGAGATTATCATATTAAGTGAAGTAAGTCAGACAGAGAAAGACAAATATTATATGATATCAGTTATATGTGGAATCTAAAAAATGATACAAATGAACTTATTAACAAAACAGAAACAGACTCACAGACTTAGAAAACAAACTTACGGTTACCAAAAGGAAAAGGCTGGGAGGGGAGACATAAATCAGGAATTTGGGAGTAACATATACACACTACTATATATAAAAAAGATAAACAACAAGGACCTACTGTACAGTGCAGGGAACTATACTGAATATTTTGTAATAAACTATATGGAAAAAGAATCTGAAAAAAAATATGTGTGTGTGCATATATATACACACACACACACATATATACGCATAACTGAGTCACTTTGCTGTAGACCTGAAACTAACATAACATTGTAAATCAACTATACTTCAATAAAAAATAAATTAGGGCTTCCCTTGTGCGCAGTGGTTGAGAGAACGCCTGCCGATGCAGGGGACACGGGTTCGTGCCCTGGTCTGGGAAGATCCCACATGCCGCGGAGCGGCTGGGCCCGTGAGCCATGGCCGCTGAGCCTGCGTGTCCGGAGCCTGTGCCCCGCAACGGGAGAGGCCGCAACAGTGAGAGGCCCACGTGCCGCAAAAAATAAATAAATAAATAAGAAGATCCATACTTACTTGTTGCTCCATGGTCACATTGTTCTTATACTTGTAAATCCACAATGCTAAGTATTCTATTGGATCCACTGGGCGCATCCTTGCCACTTCTGCAAGACCTTGAGTTAGACACGTCCCAAGATTCTTTTGAAGATATGCCGACTCCATTTCTAACTGCTAAATAAAAACCTCTAAAAGATAAACGTTTCGCATTAGAGCAGGAAATTTTCAATGAAGGCACAATCAAAGTAGAGTTCAGTGAGGCCAACAAAGCATTACATCCCATCACCAGTCATGGGCACCTGCCATCAGGAATGGCACAAGCAAGCTGGCTCCAGGACACTTCTAGCAGTTTCCAAAAAGCCTCCACAGAAGTCACTACAACTAAAATAGTTTCAAAAACCTGAAGGACCCTGGAGTCCAAGTGTCAGAAAAGGGTTACTGTCATTACTGATGGTGAGACGACTATATGGCAAGCGATGCACGTCTTACTAAATCCTTACAACATACCTGAACATGGTATCATTAGCCCCACTGTGCAGATGAGGTCGCCCAGGCCCAAAGAGCATAAGTGAACAGCCCAGGATCACACAGGTGGTGTACGGTGAAGAGGGATTCATACGCAACTCTTGATTCCAGAGTCATTACCCTAAGTGACTGACTAAGATGCTCCTCCCGAGCCATGAGAGTCGTTTCTAGAAAATATCACAATAGACCACCTCAAATTTTTTTAAAATCCAAGCATCTCAGAGCCAAAGAATAAAAAAATTCAACCTTCAAAGAACAGCCTATGAAGCTCCTCATGCTTTGGCCCCAATTCTGTTTCCAGGCTCACCTCTCGATACAGTTTCTGCCTCTAACATATTCTGGGCTCTAAATACACAGAACATCCTGCCATTCTGCTGCTCACACCTTGCATGTTTCCATCTCCATGACTTTTGCACATGATGGCCCCCTCACTCTCAGCTTGGAAAATATCTCCTCATCTGCAAGCTATCAGGAGGCAAGGATATACAATGGAGAAAAGACAGTCTCTTCAATAAGTGGTGCTGGGAAAACTGGACAGCTACATGTAAAAGAATGAAATTAGAACACTCTCTAACACCATACACAAAAATAAACTCAAAATGGATTAAAGTGCTAAATGTAAGACTGGATACTATAAAACTTATAGAGCAAAACACAGGCAGGACACTCTTTGACATAAATCACAGCAATATCTTTTTTTGATCCATCTCCTAGAGTAATGGAAATAAAAACAAAAATAAACAAATGGGACCTGATTAAACTTAAAAACTTTTGCACAGCGAAGGAAGCCATAAACAAAAAAACAACCTATGGAATGGGAGAAAATATTTGCAAACGATGCAACCAACAGGGATTAATCTCCAAACTATACGAACAGCTCATATAGCTCAATATCAGAAAAACAAACAACCCAATCAAAAAATGGGCAGAAGATCTAAATAGGCATTTCTCCAAAGAAGACATACAGATGGCCAAAGGCACATGAAAAGATGCTCAGCATCACTAATTACTAGAGAAATGCAAATCAAAACTATAATGAGGTATCACCTCACACCAGTCAGAATGGCCATCATCAAAAAGTCTACAAATAATAAATGCTGGAGAAGGTGTGGAGGAAAGGGAACCCTCCTACACTGCTGGTGGGAATATAAATTGATACAGTCACTATGGAGAACAGTGTGGAGGTTCCTTAAAAAACTAAAAATAGAGTGCATATGATCCTTCAATTCCACTCCTGGGCATATATGCGGAGAAAACTATAATTTGAAAAGCTACATGCACCCCAATGTTCACTGCAGCACTACCTACAATAGCCAAGACATGGAATCAACCTAAATGCCCATCAACAGAGGAATGGATAAAGAAGATGTGGTACATATATACAATGCAATATTACTCAGCCATAAAAATGAATGAAATAATGCCATTTGTAGCAACATGGATGGACCTAGAGATTATCATATTAAGTGAAGTAAGTCAGACAGAGAAAGACAAATATTATATGATATCAGTTATATGTGGAATCTAAAAAATGATACAAATGAACTTATTAACAAAACAGAAACAGACTCACAGACTTAGAAAACAAACTTACGGTTACCAAAAGGAAAAGGCTGGGAGGGGAGACATAAATCAGGAATTTGGGAGTAACATATACACACTACTATATATAAAAAAGATAAACAACAAGGACCTACTGTACAGTGCAGGGAACTATACTGAATATTTTGTAATAAACTATATGGAAAAAGAATCTGAAAAAAAATATGTGTGTGTGCATATATATACACACACACACACATATATACGCATAACTGAGTCACTTTGCTGTAGACCTGAAACTAACATAACATTGTAAATCAACTATACTTCAATAAAAAATAAATTAGGGCTTCCCTTGTGCGCAGTGGTTGAGAGAACGCCTGCCGATGCAGGGGACACGGGTTCGTGCCCTGGTCTGGGAAGATCCCACATGCCGCGGAGCGGCTGGGCCCGTGAGCCATGGCCGCTGAGCCTGCGTGTCCGGAGCCTGTGCCCCGCAACGGGAGAGGCCGCAACAGTGAGAGGCCCACGTGCCGCAAAAAATAAATAAATAAATAAGAAGATCCATACTTACTTGTTGCTCCATGGTCACATTGTTCTTATACTTGTAAATCCACAATGCTAAGTATTCTATTGGATCCACTGGGCGCATCCTTGCCACTTCTGCAAGACCTTGAGTTAGACACGTCCCAAGATTCTTTTGAAGATATGCCGACTCCATTTCTAACTGCTAAATAAAAACCTCTAAAAGATAAACGTTTCGCATTAGAGCAGGAAATTTTCAATGAAGGCACAATCAAAGTAGAGTTCAGTGAGGCCAACAAAGCATTACATCCCATCACCAGTCATGGGCACCTGCCATCAGGAATGGCACAAGCAAGCTGGCTCCAGGACACTTCTAGCAGTTTCCAAAAAGCCTCCACAGAAGTCACTACAACTAAAATAGTTTCAAAAACCTGAAGGACCCTGGAGTCCAAGTGTCAGAAAAGGGTTACTGTCATTACTGATGGTGAGACGACTATATGGCAAGCGATGCACGTCTTACTAAATCCTTACAACATACCTGAACATGGTATCATTAGCCCCACTGTGCAGATGAGGTCGCCCAGGCCCAAAGAGCATAAGTGAACAGCCCAGGATCACACAGGTGGTGTACGGTGAAGAGGGATTCATACGCAACTCTTGATTCCAGAGTCATTACCCTAAGTGACTGACTAAGATGCTCCTCCCGAGCCATGAGAGTCGTTTCTAGAAAATATCACAATAGACCACCTCAAATTTTTTTAAAATCCAAGCATCTCAGAGCCAAAGAATAAAAAAATTCAACCTTCAAAGAACAGCCTATGAAGCTCCTCATGCTTTGGCCCCAATTCTGTTTCCAGGCTCACCTCTCGATACAGTTTCTGCCTCTAACATATTCTGGGCTCTAAATACACAGAACATCCTGCCATTCTGCTGCTCACACCTTGCATGTTTCCATCTCCATGACTTTTGCACATGATGGCCCCCTCACTCTCAGCTTGGAAAATATCTCCTCATCTGCAAGCTATCAATCATCCCCAGTTCCTCACCACTGTGGCTAATACAACCGTCTCCCAGGCAACACAAAGACGTTCCTCCTTCCCCAAGCAGCTCACACAGTACTTGTCACACTATCTGAGCATTATCTGTGTGTGCACATGTCTATCCTCCTGCTAGAGGACAAACTTCTCTAGCTCCTCAAAAAGTGTGTTTCAATCACAGCATGGACACAGCTGGCTCTCCATGGTGGCAAGTGAATGAGTTTCTCCACTCTCTCAGTAATGTCCTAGTTTATTTACAAATATGGACAGGAATCATCTCAGATCATACAGAGAGAGGAGGGGAGGTAGGTAGGAAGGGAGGGAGGGAGGGAGGGAGAGAGGGAGAGAGGGAGAGAGGGAGAGGGGGAG